CCCCCCCCCAGCTGCAGCCCCGGGACGTTAATCTTCCCCGTGAACCTCTCACGTTGGTTAAAACACATCGTATTTTGTTCTTCATGAGCCTTCAGGGGGCTCATTCCTGACCTTTAGTTTCTCATCACCGTGTGGGGAAAAAAAATAAAAAATAATAATAATAATAAAAAAAACGCCTCCTGTTTCCAAGGCAAGAGGCAGAATTCACACTTGGGGCAGAGGCTCGGTCAGGATGAAGCTGGTCATCCCAGGGGGTGGATTTCCTTCGTGTTTTCTCTTCAAAGGCCATATCCCCACCACCTCATCGGGAATGAGTGGGACTGCTGGAGAATCACAGAATCACAGAATCTTCTAGGTTGGAAGGGACCTTAAAGATCATCTTGTCCAACCATCAACCCAGCTTTGACAAAAATAGACACCCGCACAACAGACAAAAAGCAACACCATCACTAAACCATATCTCCCAGCACTACATCAACCCATCTTTTGAACACCTCCAGGGATGGTGCCTCAACCACCTCCCTGGGCAGCCCATTCCAATGGCTGATAACCCTTTTGGGGAAAAATTTTTTCCTAATATCCAACCTGAACCTCCCCTGGCGTAACTTGAGGCCATTTCCTCTCGTCCTGTCACCTGTGACTTGAGAGAAGAGACCGACCCCCACCTCTCTACACCTTCCTTTCAGGGAGTTGTAGAGAGCAATAAGGTCTCCCCTCAGCCTCCTCTTCTCCAGGCTGAACACCCCCAGCTCCCTCAGCCTCTCCTCACAAGACTTGTGCTCCAGACCCCTCACCAGCTGCCACAGCACACCTCGGCTAAGACGGAGCAGCACTGGACACTGGAGGAGAGGAAAGAAAAAGCCTAGAAAAGTACTATTAGTCATGAAACAGCTGTCTCTGATAAATCCAGTTCTGACTCTCCAAAGCTAGAAATCAGGGATGAGTTATTCCTCCCTCTTTTCCCCTTCTCCCTTGTACCAAAGGTCAAAGGTTTCAGCTCCTGGCAGCCCAAAGCCACACGTGCCCAGCAGCATCCCGGGGCTCAGGAAGCAGCATCTCCACCCCTCACCGTTCAGCTACTGCAGTGATCAATAAA